GGGGGGGGGGGGGGGGGGGGGGGGGGGGGGCAGTACGCCAACAGGTGGGACGATAACAAATTATTTTGTTTTTTCACTCGTCCTCTTGGTTGTCCTAACTAGGCTGCTCTTGTTTGCTCGCAATAGGAACCCGTGTGCTCTCCCTCGCTGCAGCAAAAAGAACCCTCTTCGGAAGGGCGAGCTTCGTAGGGCGCGCAAGACGGAAAATATGCACGAAGGGCATGAATGGGTTGGACTAGCTCAAGGACCGCCCCCCCGCTCTATCTTTGGTTTTTCCAGCAGCGTTTCAAGGCGTTTGCAGTGGGTGAATGATATGGCCCAACAGCAGCGTGTGACGGAGAGGAGGCGCCACGCATTCAACCGAGAGTGTCAATTCAATCTGGCTATTCTGCGTTCTCTACGGCTTTCGAAGTTAACAGGGGACACTCGCTGTTCTGCATCGTCGCGACGACTGATAACTGGGGGCCCTCGAGAACAGTGATGCTCGTTCCCACTGGCACATATTCAAGCATTGGCACGGCCACCACACCGACAGCGCCTGTGTCTTCTTGATGCACAGAAAGCCCCACCACCTAAGAACCTCGTACGTTGCCCCGCGGCTCGTGTCCTCTTTCCTCTCGGCGATAACCCAACATCGACTGTGTAGCGTAGGGATCTTTCCCGGGCACCAGCTCCTTCGGTCAAGTGTGCTGATGGTGGGTTCAGCCTGAACTTCATTGCTCCCAGGTTCTTTCGCCGTGGTGACGTTTTTTGTGTTGATGCTCCGTCCTCTCCGGATCGGTAAAAACAGGAACGTTCTTGAAGATTTAGCGGAACAAGTGGTGGGGTACTGCCAACACCTTCCACCAAATGAGAGTACCGTCTACTTGCTAGCGGCCGGTCACAGCGAGGCAAGTGGTACAGTATGAGCACGTGGGCAATGATACATACCCAGATTTTTCTGCCCGCCGCTGGGTTCACTCAAAGTAGTAAGGTTGAATGCAAAGCAGGTGCTGTTCGTGTGATGATAGAACCGCAGGAGGGGGACCAACCCCCCCCCCCCTATGTGACCCCGGTTGGGTCGTCTAGCTAGTAGAAGTGGAGGATAGGGACCAGAGGGGCAGACGACAGAGTCCAATGATGGGGGGGGGTTACTCATAGTCGTGCATGCCGTAGTCGTTAGGCCATGGACCTCGCATCCCTACAAAGCCGGGACGGACCACGCCGGCTTCTCACCGGACCAGGCTCTCACATCACCAAGCGCGAAGCGCCGTGAGATATTCGGCGAGTCGCATGAAGGGTGCGCTGCATCCTGCTAAGGGTGTTCGGCATCTTGTGCTTACTTCCTTGCGTACGGATGACAGCTGCGTATGAATTAATTTATTTTCTGGTGCTTTCACTTCCAGAGACAGTTGTAAGCACTGTGTAACTGCCTCGAGGGTGCTTGACCATTTTCACACAACGTGGTGCGATCATGCTCCTTGCGCGGAGCGAAGGTTCTCCACCCCGCACAACATGATCTACTCGACCACCATTATGGTTACCGCCAAAAAAAAAAGACAGGGGCAAAAAAAAAAACGGAAACCTGGTTGCCGAGTTCACGAATTGAATTGGCTTNGCTCCTTGCGCGGAGCGAAGGTTCTCCACCCCGCACAACATGATCTACTCGACCACCATTATGGTTACCGCCAAAAAAAAAAGACAGGGGCAAAAAAAAAAACGGAAACCTGGTTGCCGAGTTCACGAATTGAATTGGCTTGTTTTACAACGTCGTTGCCAAGCGACGAAAACCCAACCCCGATGGCAAACACCAGCAAAAAAAAAGTATATATATATATATATAGCCTGTACGACGCTCAAACTAGAAACAAGAATGTTTGTCTTGAAGCAAACACGCCCTCACGACTGTTTTCATTATGTCCTCATTTCCTCGCGAAGACACCGTCACATCAGCGTCACTCATGGCAGTTCGGTGCTGTCCGCACTTTCGGCTGCAGTTGCCCATGTATTGCTTTGAACCCGCTGCACGGTGGCGAGTCGTGGTGGTTGGCGACTTTAGTCCCTGTGGTATGTAGCCTTTTTTCTACCCGGGGATTTCCTCTTTTGAGATTGTCTTTCTTGCCTGCACGTGTGGGGCGTGTGGAATACCCGTAAAGTTGATCTTTCCTTTTTTCTTGTCTTTGAATTTTCTTGTTTATTCGGGCGGCCGACTCTACCAATGCAAATCGAGGCGCTCAGCCAATGCCAGACCTCCCCTCCACTTCTTGTTCCCTTTCCGTTTTCCTCATTCTCCACCTCTACTTGTTTTTCATGTTCGGAGCCCGTGTCGATCTCCCTCCCGATACAATGGTTGAGGACTTTCACCACGGGTATGCTTAGACTACATTGCCGGCTGTATGTTTCATTTTTCTTCCGCCACCGCTTCTCTCTATCTCTCTCTCTCCCTCTCTCCCTCTCTCCCTCTCTCCCTCTCTCTCTAACCCGCCATAACTGATGTGCGACTTGCTTCCTGCTTCCCATGCTCTTTCAGACGGCAGCAAGCTGCCCCGTTGCGCAGCATGCGTCGCCCTGGAACTTCGAGCAGCTTTGTCGGACTGCTGCTGCTGCTGCTGAAGACGCTGCCACTGCGACTGCAACACGCGTGGCTAGCGGTCGTGGGCCCCCCACCCCCGAGAAATGTTCAGTCGCTGCGCCCCGGATGCTGGCGCATATGTCAAGCGATGACGTCGCTCTCTTTGCCAAGTACCTCGTCCGCACGAAGCGCGCGGTGACGGAGGGGGGCCTGCTGAAAGTACTCTTTAGGGGTGGGGGGAATAGGGTGGCGGCGGCAGGGGCGACGGTGTCTGAGACAGAGAAAGACTTGCTGCGGCTTCGGTGCACCGGTGAGAGGTCCATCTTTCAATGGCATTGTTTTTTTTTACATATCGACGATGCGAACTCTCATGATTTTGGTTGCAAACTCGTTAGATTGTTTAGTCCACGGCTCCCCTTGGGTAGGTACCCTACCCGATTTTTCCTACGGGCCCCAACAACTAGTCCGGAAGTACAGACACGTGCCAGGTGGACGGCGGTCAGAAACTAATGTTCGACCCATGCGTTGTCCTGCGTATCCGCCCGGTCCAAAGCCAGCAAGCGATCGCTGTCTTCCCAACCCAGCGTGTCTTCCTAGCCAAATGTGTTTGGTCTGGTCTCTCCCGTCAATCCTGTTATTTGTGCCTCCAAGTTATACATGGCTCTGGCTAGAAAACAGCGGTGTGCTCCATGGTCCTACGTGGACTATGTCAACTGCGCTTGAAGCGGTGCTTCGTCGCCAAGCGCGCGTTCCCACCAGCGGCCGAAAATTTCGTGGACGACCGTTGGTTGTTCATGTGTAGATCGGATCCCTTACAACGCCAATACTGCCGTGGGGGTACCAAGCACTCGGTAAATGTGTCTGGGAGCGGGCCCTAACGTCAAGCCTACCAGCAGTGCTAGCTTCATCAAATCGTGCATCATTCTTTTGTCTGGCCATGACGGGCCAACCCACCCATGCAGTAGCCATGTATCATCCCGACTGCTTTTAGCCCAGCAAGATATCTACTTCCGAACCTCTCAACGCGTTCATAACTTCCCCTTTCCCACCTTCTCCTTCAACGACGCACTTATATATGTATGTCTATCTTAAACCCCGATCCCTAAACTCTTACTGTAACTGACCCTAAGCAGTCGCTAGTCTAGAAGCGAGCGCATCGGATCTGGGACTGCGAATACAGCGGGTACAGCAGGACGCCCTGATGGAAAACCGTCGGGGGCAGAAGCGGGCGGCGCTGGTGCACTTGCGGAGGATGAAGCAGTATCAAGCCGCTAGGGACAAGCGGCTCTCCTCCCTCTTGACGCTGGAAACGGCGTTGGATCAGGTAGGCGCAAGCACAGGACCTTGCTCGGTCGGAGGAGTTCTATGGTGCGTGTTTTGCCGGAGAGACATATGGTATTCCGATCTGGCGGGTTAACTCGTTTCTCGGAATCTCAGACCAGAGCGAAGCTCCTTCATGAGCTTCGGGAATTATTATTCCGAACAGCGTTTTTAGGTGGCTCCCTGTTTTCCCTCAAACGAACAACCTGGATGGATTTACGGATACAAACACTGCTGGTAGGTGATAGATATGTGTCTACCGCGGTGCTGTCGGAGGAACGTCGGAACCGCACGGGGAAACCGAAGTATGTAAAAAGCATATATATCATTTCACTCTTTTCCCAGACCCAAGCGGATATTGATTTTGAGTTTTTTCGACTCTGGTTTTCGAACATCGTGACGTACGCCAACGGCCTCACGACCTGGTATTTACGTGTTTGGCGATCGAATGAGAACAGGTGAAGCAGCTGAGGTTGGACAAGCAGGTGCTGGAGGCCCATGAGGCTGCCACGAATGCCCTCAAGGCCTGCAGGGAGACGCAGGGGCTGACGGTGGAGAGGGTGGAGGACACACTGGATGCGCTGGCAGGGGTGAGACGCCGCCCTCTGGCGGGGAGGCTTGAGACCTTGGTATCTCAAAAGTATTCTCGTTGTGGCCATGGCTGCTTGCCTGAGGCTGCTTGTGCGAGGTCTGGTCGATCGATAGTGTTGCATGAGTCGGGGTGGGTTTTGAGGTGGGACCCCCCCGGTGGTGGGTACAATATAGAGGCTCCATTTGATATGCTCCCCCCCCCCCTCTCCCGCTGCTTGTCACCAAAGTACGAGGTTAATCCAGTAGTCTACGCAGCAAATCGATTAAGCAAAGAAATGGGATAAAGTGTTCAATCCGTGCTTTGGGGTTAGGGTTAGGGTTAGGGATAGGGTCTGCGTGCCCCCTCCCTATTTTTTTTCTAGATACTCTTGTAATCCCGCGTAGGCGGTCCGGTTAATCCCGAGACGATTTTCACGCTTCGCACCAGGAGAATGAATGTATGAACCCCCGTGCGCGTTGATTTGCCTTCGATACCATACCGATGTTTCGGTGCAGTTCTGCGGCGGGGCGGCGTGCCCTGGAGTTAGTTCCACCCGGCCCATCTCCCGATTGCATTGGTCGGGTGGTCCCTTTGTCCGCCTGTGGTGGCCGTGTATCACCCCTGGAACGCTGCCCCCCCGCCCCCCCCCATCCGCCTGTTGTCAATGCCGTCCCCGTTCATTCTGCTGGGCGTCGATTTGTAACACCTTTTTCGTTTCGAGCGTAGGAGCCTGGGTCACGCATGAAGAGGAAGACCGTTTCTGCATGTGTTGTGCTTTTTATATCCGTTGCTGAACCATGTTATGCATGTTCGTGGACTGGCAGTGTACAGCATGGGCCCCCCACGGCACAATGGACGAGCTGTTCGATCGTTTTATTGTTTTGTTCAAGACAGCACGAGAGGCCACCTCCTCTACACTGTACAGTAGTACTCCATTGTAGTGTTGTGATAGGGTTAGGGGTTCGTGTTCGAAGCCCGAGTCGACCTCCCTCCTGAGAATGGTTGAGGACTTTCACCAATAGAATTTACGGACTTCCACCACGAGACTACAGGCGGGGGAAGTGGTTCATTTTTCTTCCGTCAACGTCTCTCATTGACCGATCATGATCCATCAGGAGATGGCCGAGGCGGAGGCAGTTGGCGCCGCGCTAGGACAAGAAGGCGCCCTTCTTGGGCAAGACGAGGGAGAGACGGCAGAGCTCGAAGCAGAGCTTGACGCCCTCCTTACAGCACAGGATAGCCCATCGCCATCGCCACCGCCATCATCATCATCATCACAACCACCAGCGGTGTCGAAGGGTCCGGCAAGGGCGGGGGAACGTGATACGGCCGCTTCGGCTTCGGCCGGTCCCGCGGCTGCCATGCGTAGACCCTCACCGAATGGCACTAGCGATAGGGCGAGCGTGCCTCCTCGGAATAATAACCCGGGGTCACGGGAGGATGGTGTGCCCTTACCCGCATGACCGATGGGGGAGAGGGGGAAATGCCTTTTCTTAATTAGAATAGCTCGAGTATTTTGTACGGTGGGCTATTGTTGTCCGGGCTGGCGTAGTGTAAGACGGACTTGCTTGTCGTCGAACAAATTTTGTGTCGCTGCTTGTGGATAATTGCTGTGGTTCTGCCCATGGAATGGTGTCGTGCTTCTACTGTTCGTGTTGTATTTCCGAAGAGGCAGTCTCCCGCCAGCAGCAGCGTGCTATTTACTTTACTTCGTTTTTGGCTCCCCTGCAGTGGCACCGATTCGATCACACATACGGGGGGGGGGGGGGGGGGGGGGGGGGGGGTTACTCGCGAAATGAAGGCGGGTCCAATTGATCGAGTCTTGAGAGACTTGATTGGTTGAGGTGGTAGGTTTCCAAAATTGAATTGTGGGTAAATAATGCGGGATAGACTACATAGTCTATCCCCATGACTGATCGAGTCTTGTGTTCTCTGTTGAGCCGCCTGCCCGGGTTGGAGCGAAGTCGTTACCTAACGCTGTAAAACGCGTGCGTTGCTTTGGAATATGCATGCACATGAAGAAGCCGGTCCAACGTCTGCTTGTGGGAGAGTTCCGGCGCAGATTTCGGACTGTTTTCAGAGACTGCTGCAACCGTCGATATTTCAGCTCCAGTAGCAAACCTGAACGTGCCAGCAGGCACGAAGCTTCTTCATGGTGTCCTCTACTGATAACAGTACTAATTACCAGGTTCCTGGCAACACAGACCTTATTTGAACGCCTGTCGTATTGGCTCTTTTGACTTGAAATTAGAATAGGGCGAATTTTTATCTTGATTTCAAAGGGGGCGTGCGGAGGAGGTAGATGCGTGAAATGGATGTTTTGAGCAGCCTCTACTCTGTCGCCCTGTGCGGGTTTGAACGAATTCTGTTTTTTGCGATGCCTTCCGACTGGTCTTGTGTGTCTATTGTACAGTTTCTGGTGCTCTTGTGTATGTTTTCAAAATTAGTCAACATCGAACTTGCTGTTCTGGGGGCCCTTAATAGGACGCGATTGGATTCTTCATGAACTCTACCTCTTGTTAACATTACATGTCGGGAAATAGGTAGCACGGCCTGCGCAAACCCGGCGGTGCATGCATCCATGCCATTGTTGTGTTGATTGTTGGGGAACACGTTGTACAATCGGTTGGCGAAAGCGCCGCGAGGGCTGGAAATTATCTCGATAAATCTGACTGGTCTGGCCAAACGTTCCGGGAAAATTATTTTTGCAAACGCCTCCGAAGTTAGTTTTTTTTCCATCCAGCGGCAGATGCTGGAGACCCCGCGCAGCGAAGCGGACGTTTTCACATCCCTGGGTGATACATACCTACCCAAGCAGCAGCAGCAGCAGCAGCAGAGTGTGAGAGACACAAGAGAGGGGGTGTCTTGAAGCAAGTAGAGGAGCCCGTTCAGCTGGAGAGATTGTCGGAAATATGTCCGACTTCATCGATGCATTGAATCTCATCACCAGTGCAAAAATTCACGAGCTGTATGCGAAGCAGGACACTGAGGACCCGCTCGTCCTTCGCAAGAAGGTGAGGGACAGCAGAGAGAGACAGAGAGAGAGAGACAGAGAGACAGGATATGATGATACCAGAGGCAGAGAGGTAGCGTGTGCGCGACAGAGAGGGACACGAGAGATCCGTGACGACACGTACTACGTGCCCTCGCACTGACCCGCGTGCGTTGTCGGCCCTCTCCTCTGGGAACCGATGGGCCGTGCGTCTGGGAGCTGTTTAGAGTGTACGGTATTCCAGAGTTATTCCGGGCATCATGGTGTTCGTGAGGCTTGGGGGAGGCGGGGAGGGAAAGTCCACGTGTTCGATTTGTCTGTCGTGACCAGAGGGCACGGGCTCTCTCGTGACCTCGACCCTTGTTTCGGCGCCACCCCGTAGCCTCGCTGCCACCGCTAGAGCTGTTGCGGCACTGCAGGGCAGCACTCTCTTTTTTGTATTTTCTGCACACCCGCTGCTCTTCTTGCCTCAATATCATCATGATGCGGCAGTCTGGGTGCGTCATAGTTCGTGTACTTTCCATTTCCCCTGGGCTTCTGCGTGGTGAGGTTACTACTGCTGTAGCGGACCTATGGTTGCTTTTTTTGTGCGTCGGCGTGGGTATCCCGGATGCTTTGTGCACTCTGGTATCGCTGCAACATCGCGTCTCCGCCTGTGTGGTATTCCACGCGGTTTCCCCGCCTTTTGGCTCGGGAACTCGGGAAGTTGTTGAAACAGCGGCGTGATTTCGTCTCTCGTCTTGTATTGGTGCATGCTATTTATAATAGAGTCGTTGGGTCGGATGTTCTGATGCGTGCGACAATGATGCCCCCCCCCCCCCCCCC